CTTTATCCCCTATCTCACTGATCCAAACAAAGTCACTACCTCCATGGAGCCCTGAATTTACTGATTTCTACTCTGTATGTCTGGGCCTGGTTCACTGATGGTTTGGTTGAGCTGAAACACAACGGTGCCCACAGGCTGCTGCAGCTATCCGATCTCAGTAGCAGGTATGCACAATTGAAAACCTATAAGATTACTCAGCTCCATGGGCAGAACCCAAAGCCATTCTCTTGCTTTTTTTTTTTTTTATTAATTAATTAATTTTTCCAAATACATTTGTCTCTGCCTTCCCCCCACCACTTTCCCGTGCCCCCTTCCTCCTTCCCTCCCTCAGCTCTTCCCCTTTGGTTTTGTCCGTGAGTCCTTGCTATATGTTCCTTGACTTGCCCCTTCCCTTCCCTTTCCCTGCCCCCCCCCTTCCCTCTTGTCTCTGTTGGTTTCTTTTCCTTTCAGTGTTGCTGGTCTTATTTCCCTTGCATCTTTGTTTTGTTGGTTAGATTCCGCTTATCAAAGCCATTCTCTTAGCTATGGTCAATACATGTCTTGATAAGACATGTTATGCTTTTACTGACTCAAGCTATCACCAGTCAATAAACTGTTTGGTCTGACATTTGGGAAACCACAGACTGGCATATTAGTCACCCTTCTTTGGGAGAGCAAACCCTGGAGATAAATCTTAAGTGCTGATCAAATCACCTGAATCACCCATGTGGGTGCCCACAGTAAGGTCCCATCCTCTGGAAAAGCAAACAGAATTAAGCATCCGATAGAGACCATACCAGGCAGTCTGCCACAAAAGCTGCATCGATCCATCATGCTGCCCAACATAGCAACGAGCCTGCCATCACAGACTGAGCACAAGGTACTCTATTTTTCTGATGCAGAAGTTACCAGGCTTGGGATTCATGCCAAAAGCTGACTGGTTTTTCTTGGCAAATGGATTCCATAAGACCTTTGTCCACCTCTCTGGGCTATAGGGGTGCCTCACAGCTAATGACAAATCTGCTTATTGTTCGTCACTTTATAGACCATTTGAAGTCTGACAATGGTATCCTTTTTATCACAAAAGCTACCCAGTAATGGGCTGAGAGTAGGGGTATTTGGTGGGTTTTCCACACTTCTGACCATCCAGAGGCATATAGTGCTACTGAGCATTGAAATGGCCTCCTCAAAAACTGATTCAAAAAAGATTTGACTCTATCTCCCCCACCTCTTCTTAGCCCGCACATCTTAATAAGGCAATTTGATTATTAAATGTAGATGTCCCCAAAAAGGGATCATCTCCCCTTGGCTACTCCATGAAAAGGGGAACTAGGGGAAAGATACTGATTGATTCTACATAAGATTAGATACATTATATGAAAATCCAGGATTCTGCTCTGACCACGCCTGGGTACGATGTATTATTTACCCCAACAGCAACCTCCAGGATGCATCTGGTGGTAGCTGCTCCAGAAAAGAGCCTAGAAGATTCAAATATAATTCCAGTTTAGCCACTGTATTATCTTATTGGACTCTTATGATCCTAGGTCAAAAGGGTAATGACCGCTTGATTGAATACACTGCTCATCAAGTCCCCTGTGCCTACACGGACAAAGGTGGGGGACACACTGGGTGTCCCTAAGTATTTAAAAATACCCTTGTCCCTCTTTCACCTGAATGCTCTGAAAAATAAGTCTATATAGAAATAAGGTAAAGTTTTAGCTAATAGAACAGGACAGATTGATTTTGTGGCAGAAGGAGAACAACAAGGCAGTCTGATAATGAAGCGCCTTTAAGCTCTAAGAGGCCTGAAGGATGGAGGAAATTAGCAATCATGTTTTTTAGGGGCACCCTGTCCCCTTTTAATGAAGGAAAATGCCTTAGTGTTCCTCTCTCAAACTGTTTTAAGTGCCTTAAACTTAACTGATTACTGGATCTACCATATCAACCAGAGGCTCTAACAACCATTTATTTGCCATTCTCCTTAAACCTACTAAGAAATCTTTCAGAAACAGCACAGGATGGTCCCACTTTGAGTTCCACAGCTCAGTCATGCTACGAGGTGCACAAATATCAACCAGTTTGTGGCACGGACAAACAGGAAAAATGGGATCAACTACACTAGGGCAGTCTCCACGAAGACAAGGAAGAGACACAATTATTTAAGGTGAATTAGGAACCATGAAGCAACGACGCTACAGGTACTGTTAACCTGTACTGCCTAACTGTGTAGGTAGTACTTGGTGTCCCTGACAATGGTAAATGATACTTTCTTTCCAGATGCACCATGCCTTGCTTCCTGCCTAGAAACATGGCAGCCTGCACTTCTATCCTAGGAGTGGTCACATTTCAACTATTCATGGAAAGATCCCCAAAAGATCATGGAGCTCTTAGACAACTACAAGGATCTTTCCAAAAGGAGACTCTGCATTACTTGTTTTTTGTGCTCACTCTATGGGCAGTTAATTCAATTAGAAAAAGTGGTACAAAACTTCTCTGCTTTTAGCTAAAGGAAAGAATGACACCACTTCAGACTTGGAGGGCATTCAGGTTAGTATCAACTCACTGTCCACACGCTGCTATGGACAAAATAATTGTCCTGTATTTCCTCCTTGAGGACCAAGACAAACTTTATGCCAACTACTAAAATCGTCCTGGATTGTCTTGTTAAATTGTCATCACCCTAGATAAAAAGGATAATGACGACTTATGTGACTGCACGGCTCACCAAGCTCCCCAACAATGGGCCAAGCTGACCAAAGCGGGAAATACACTGGGTCTCTGTAAACTTCTGTAAACTCCCTTGACCCTCTTCCTCCTGAATCTTACAGAGTAAAGATCTCAGTGCCAGTGAAAAGGTCTCAGGCTGAGTAGAAAGGTCAATATGGGGATTTAAAGAAAAAGCCACCTAGCTTTCTAAGGTAAACCTGGATCGTTTATTGGATTTGTTCAGATGGTTGGGCTTGGGCTCTTAGGGTTATGATTGAGGTTAATAATTCAGATTGGCCTCATCTTGCTGGTTGGTGTCCTGTTGGTAAAAGCTTTACTGAAGTTGCTGTATGAAGCAAATTGACCAGATTTTGATTCCAGCCTCAGTCAGATTAATCACAGTACCCAACGGAGCGCTATACTAATGGAAAAATTCGCCAGAAGCCAAGATGGTATAGAAGCGAAATTTGATTATGGTTGAGAGACAATTCCCCATGGTTTTCTTGCATTTCTGCATATCTTATGAGGGAAACACTGACTTCCCTTTGATTAGACAATCTTTTCAAGTATCTTTGTATGGAAAGCAGCCTTGGAAGATAAGGTACTGTCTCCTTCCAGAGCGAAGGACAGGCTTGCTTACAGTTTTGGAAACAGTGTCTTTCTCTGAAGCAATGAACGGGTGCACTACCTATCCAGTACAATGATAATTTGTATCACCCTTTGAAACAAAGGATAGGGATATTTACTGCCCATCCTAAAAGATTCAAGTTCCCAAAGCTTAGGGTTCCTTTCCTGTGCTGAGTGCCACTATGTGTGCAAGTCACCTGTTCCCATTCACATAGCCCTGTGGCGAGTGGGGCTTTGGGAACTGTTATAAATGCTGATATTATAGTTCGTGCTTCTGTGAGTACTAAACTGTCATTTGTCCCTGACCAGGAGTATCATGTCTTCTAAAGTGTCCATGAAACTGTGGCAGGCTCACTTGTTAGCTTGAAAGTAGGGTAAAATGTCAGTTCTTGACAAGCACTGCCTGCTCATTTTTCTATAGCAATAGTATCCTTCCTAAACTACCATATTAAGGAAAGAACTTCCTTAACTAAATAACCATGAGTAGAAGGGGAATATGGCTTATTTACTTTATTTTAAAATGATCCTCTATATTTACATCTTAAATTAAGAGAGTAAAAGGAAGTGCTTTCTAAAATATTTTCAATAACTGTCTTTCGCCACTTGTCCTTTCTTCTGAAAATCATTTTAAATGTATTTTCTTTCTTCTGTTTGATTCTGTTTTCAATCCTGAGTGGATGAACTGATAACTTTTCATATTTTAAGTCAATGATGAAGAATGTCAATAAAATGTGCTTACAAATAATATTTAAGGCTTCATGTTATCTGTTTGAATACAGCAATCATTTCAAAGCCAACAAATGTGATGGCATCTGATAAGGTACACTTAATACCTCAACAGTTTACATAACTTTTATTGTTTCTGCATGAGGCAATATCATTACAAAATTTTTTAAAAGTATGAATGAACATGAGATCTTTTATTAAAATTTTTCTTTTTAAATATTATAATACATCATCTTTGTGAAAATTCAAACATGACAAAAATGTATTACTTTAGCCCTGACTGCTGTGGCTTAGTTGGTTGGGTGTCATCCTGCAAAGCGAAAGGTCACCATTCCAATTCCTGGTCAGGGCACATGCCTGGGTTGAGGATTTGGTCCCCCGTCAGGGTATACACGAGAGGCAACCGATCGATGTGATGTTTTTCTCCCTCTCTTTCTCCCTTCCTCCCCCTCTCTCTAAAAATAAATAAATAAAATCTTTTAAAAATGTATTACTTCAAAGAATAAAGATATCCATTAGTTCAAAACTGCCAAAGAGCAGCAACTGTTAGTGGTTTGCTATGCAAATACTAACGTACAAGGAAATGTATATTTAATAGAAGTGAGATAGTCCATGTGTTGTTTTCATTTTATCTTGGACCTATTGACACAGATATTTCTATCTTTAATAGCTACAGAGTTATACAGGATTCCATTAGTTTAATGAATGGAAATTTTTTATCTAATTCCAAACTCATGGTGTTTAAGGTTGTTTCTGCTTGGTTAACAAGCAAAAACAATGCTACAGTGAATAGTCTTGTATTTACATCCTTACAAACCTCTAAGAGCATTTTTGCTGGATAAGTGCTGATGGTGATATCGATATGCTGAATAACAGGGCTTGCATGATACCACTATTAGGTTAATATGGCCCCTAGTTTATAAATGCACAGTAATACCTGGTTAAAATTTTGCTCTCACCTTTGTTGCCAAGGATTTGAGTTTTCCCAGTAGTGACTGTTTATTGGAATATACAACTTCCTCTTCATTATCTTCTCCTTCCATAATAGCACAACTATCCGCAGCAGGGAGTTCACACTCTTTTGAGTTAGTTGTCATTACTAATTTGGAATATTTGTACTCCAGTCTAAGTAGTAGTAGATAAATAGATAAAGTGGAGGTTTAATATAAACCAATACTTGTTTTAGGTGGTCATATACCAGCTCATGGAATGGCCTTGTAGCATAGGTATTCTACCAACAGAGTTTCCTCACCCACAGCTAACACACTATTATGTTCTCTGTTATCTACCAATTTACATACAAATCTTTTCCAGCATTTCAGTGCATCAGTTAACTCTATCACTATTCTACTTGACAAAATTGTCCAATTATGAACTTTAGAAAAAACAAAAAGAAACCTTGAGGTCTACATGCATTTTCTTAATTTATAAATATTTATAAATTTAGAAGCTAACTCGCTATACAGTGTTCCAAAGTTTAGGTCATAAGACTAAGACTACCAGACAGGCAATTGATTTGGTCTTTACTGTTTCTATCATTCATGCCTTTCTATTTAAAAACCCCAGATATTACAGTTGTCCTGACACATTATTATCATGTAGAACTCTCACAGACCCACTGACACATAAATCATTTTAAAAGAGTTAAATCATGTAACACATCAATAAAAAATCAGGACTCAGACTCAATATTCAACTCCAGGTTCTTGGAGTCCTTGACCAAATAAAGGTGATATCTGCTTATACAACTTTGCAAATATCTGCCCACATGAAACTAAAAAAGAAAAGTTGGGGCAAGAATACATCATGTCATGACAAGAAAATAGACACAGAGAAAAATCTGCCTTCCAATCTTAGACCTAAATAATCTGGACCCCCATTTTTATTTTCTATTAAATGAGTCTAATTAAATAACTTCTAATGGCCTATGATCTCTACATTATCAGAATAACAATTACTTCCACTTGCTTTCTTAAAGGCCTTTCCTATAATTCATCCACTAGGATTAACTTCTTGGGTCTCCAAGAGAAACTCTTGGATATAATGATTAAGTCTAAAATTTTCACAAAAGAGATCCTTCAGCTTTTATATGGCCACTCCAATGAGGTTACTTACTTCTGATTCTTTTTCCAGAAATAGCAAGTTAGAGCCACCAGCAAAACAGCTGTGAAAGCTCCCACACCTGCTCCCACTTTCAGCCAAAAGTCAACTGTTTCACATGTTGACAACTTTTTCTCAGGCAAAGAAATTCCTTTAATGCACCATTTTGGTTCATTCCATACATATAAGGTTTCCTTTAAAAAAAAAACATACACACAGAAATGACATGAGAAATAAGATGCAGAAGGAGAGGGGATTTGCTAACCCTTTATTCATAGGAGGCATAGAGGATTACTCAGCATTCATCTAGCAGAAGCTCCAGAGATGTAAAAGATGTATAGGAGATACAGGAGAGATGCAAAAGAGAGTGAATAAGGAAAAAAATGAATTAAAATGCAGCTAAACCAAATAAAATCATGGACCATCCGATCAGAAGGCTTGCTACATGCTGAGGAAGTTGAATAAAAATGACTCCATCTGGATATATCCTTTGGGCTATTTTCCTCACAATCCTGATGATCTCTGACTTCCGGTTCATGTTTTTAAATGAAAGTTTAGTTATTTAATATGCTTATAACTGGAAAGTTTTCACCTACCCATCATGTAGGCCCATTTCCCCTACGGGCCTCACCCCTGAGCAGAAGAGCAGTAGGCACCACGTGACAGGCAGGCCTTGGTGACTGGTGGAGGGGGAGGGACACGGACTGCATCCCTCTTCCTCATGCCAAAATCACTACCCACACCAGGTTCCCACTGTCAGCCTCCAAAAGTAGATGACTCAATTATTTAGGGCAATGTTTTTCAAAATGCAAGTTGCAACTAACTAATGAATAATAAAATCAATGTACTGGGTCTCAACTAGCAAATTTTTTTAAAGAGATAAAATGTAACAGATTAGAACTAAAAATCAGAGTATTGTGCATAGTTCTTGATCTATTTCAACATATGCAGTGGCCAGTAGCAATCTGCATCATGGTTATATCCTGTGACATTAAATGTTATAGGGCATTAAATTATTTGCTCATGGTGTCTCATTAAATTTTCTAGTGTTTGGTGGTCACTTATCAATACCCTAACACAAGGATAACACCAGAATGTTTAATTTGATTTTATACTCACGTACAAATTTTTGCAGTTAGTCATGAAGTGACTGATGTGCAGAAGAATTTTATTTATTAACTTTGAGAAAAAGTTTCAGCCAAGTTCTGGATAAGAACTTTCAGCATGTATTTTTAAAAAGTCAATTAAGCCTTGGCCAGGTGGCTCAGTTGGTTGGAATGTCATCCCATATACCAAAAGGCTGTGGGCTTGCTTTGTGGTCAGGGCACATACCTAGGTTGTGGGTGTGGTCCCCGTTTGTGGTGCATATGGAAGGCAACCAATCAATGATGTCTCTCACACTGATGTTTCCTGCTCTCTCCCTCTCTCTCTCTCCCTGTTCTCTCTCTCTCCTCCCCTCCCTTCTTCCTTTCCCCTCTCTCTAAAATCAATAAACTTACTGAGTGAGAATTTAAAAAAAGGACATTAAAATTAAGAATTTTTTAGTGCATGATAACTGTAATATTGTCATTAAATTTAGTGTGAATAAATTACTTTTAAAATGGGCCATGGTTTTATAAGAAAGATGAGGTGAGAAATGAAAAGGCATATTCAAGTTGGACTGCTGCATCTCCAAGTGTAAATAATGACAATTAAGAGAAAAATTTAACCCTAGTCAGCAAATGTTGACTTCATCTGAAGTACATTCCAACAAGAAAACAGACCATAAAAGAGTTTATACCATTTTATTAAATATCCAACAGTGAAAATAGTAAGCTCTAATGTCAAATGACAGTCTTTTTTTAAAAAAAGCATTAAAACTTTAAAATTAAAAAGATACTTGTAAACCTAGGATGCTTAACTTTTCATTACACTCCTCAAATTGTCAGTCCAAAAAACAAAAAATCAAGCTATTGGTAAAATTTCTTAGTCATTTTATAAACTTATAAAATGAGTTTATAAAAAGTTATAAAACTTAGTCCTTTTATACATTTCTTAGTCACTCTATTAAATTAGGAAGCCTTATCCCTTCATTCAGTCACATGTCATTGGCGAATAAGACAATGGCTGACAATACAGCTGAAAAATTTATCCTTCCAGCATGTAGGGATATTTAATGAACAGGGTGAAATAAAGTTGATGCTAAATTTAAAAACATTCCTCTTAGTGGTCATTCAGTTATCTCTTCAAATCTTTACTACTATCTGACATTTAGAAGTGATGCTTAATACATCCTTAGAACATGCTGAAGACTTTTGAGACCCAGCTTGATAAGAAAACTTTTATTACACATTGTGCAACCCTTTTAGCTTATATCAGCTATATGTGAAGGGCTTGTAGTATGTAATTTAACTTTATACACATCTGGATTATTTACAGAACTGGGGAAGTGAAATACAAAATGAAAAATGACAAAGGATGGGGCAAGAACTAGGGCAGAAATACAGTGGAATTATTTAAAACTTAAAAGATACCCGTAACATATATTTTGCAATCAGTGTTTTTTTCCTACCAAAACACTTCGGCATCCAAAGAACTCCTCCCTTGTTCATGGACATGATAGAAAACATAGTGAAAGCTGCCTTGTGTATTATATGCAGTTCATGGAAGAGCTGAGTTTTGGAAAAATTTTATTCAGAGATTGGAGGTAAACATACCCCCTTACTGCATCGCACCCACTTGTTTACTGTTGCCGTGGAATGCACTAAGCAAGATACATGAGCTTACAAATGGCGTTCACATTTTTCTAGTTGAAGCTTAACCTCATTTAGCACATACTTTCAAAATTGGCATCTAAGTATAACAAAAGGGCATATGTAACTGATTTTGGTATTTCTCAAATTAAATTGGAAATAAGCGGGGGATCGTATATTTCAACATGTCAAATACATCAAAGTGTTCCAAAAGATATTATTCTTAAGGTCAAAACACGTATTTAAAAAAGAATCACCTCACAACTATCTGTTCCTAGTATTTTTATAACATGTTGTTCAGAACTATTTCAATGAAGACAGTTTGAGATAAAATTAGAGAAATTGATGTAACTGCACTGTCTTAAACTTCAAATCACCTTACAGAATAGAAATATTAAATATTAAAGAACATTTAATAAAAGGTAGTTTAGCTTTTCAAAACTTTTGAGTTAAACCTGGTGGACAAAGAAGGGAATGCATCTTAGATTTTAATTTACTCTAGTAAGTGTATCACAGTTTTATTAGAGAAAAGGTAAAGATGAGTTTCTATAGCAAAGCATTAAAAGTATATCATTATTATTATGAGGGTTTAAAAGACACCATTTTTTCTGAACTTGGACTTTTTATCCTTGACCTAAAACATGTTAAAAACATGTTTAACATGTTTTAGACATGTTAAAAAGAAACTGGCTCAGTAGTCATTAGATGTGTGAGCAGCACTATTTTTGAATGCTCTAAACTGGAAGGAGCTATCTACAGGTAAGCACACTTGATGAATTAAATAAAACATTCTCCGATTTATGTTTTAGTGTTGTATATTTAGGGACTTTTCCATTTTGCATGAAGTTATTAAAAACATTTTGTATTAACGTTATGCTTATACTTTATCATTAAATATAAAAGTAAGTATTGTTCCATGAGACAATTTTATTTTTAGGCATGTCTGAGTTTGTACATGCATACTAGGTAGGTTTGTACAATGTTATTTCTCACTACAGGTTCACTGTCATTAAAGTTTGAAAAATACCAATTTAGAGAATTATCCTCTGTGTTTTTTTCCCCTCAGAGGTGACCAGTACTTCTTCCAAATATGCTTGAATGCATGGGATTGGGCAGGGGCTTTCTGATTTTTCACTCTCCTTCCCTCCATCCTGCCAATTACAAAAGCTTGGAAAAGACTTTCCTGGACAGAACACCTTCCCTCTGATCTCCTCATGCCATGGGCGCACCAGCACATGCCCCACTCCACGCTCACCTGAAGATCATCCTGCCCACCTCCCTTCTAGCTCTCAGGAATCTCATCAGAATCTCTGATCCACTGAAGCCTACTCTCCAATAGGGTTCCACACTGGTATTGATTAATTCTCGTATGTGCTTCTTTACTGTCACTTCAGTGGAATTTGGGGAGGGTGAAAGGTAAATAAGTGGTCTAAAGGAAGAAAAGTTTGTGTTTTTCATACAGGATGACAGAAGGTTGGCGCAGTGAAGTGGGCACTCTCAAACGCTACTAGTAGAAGTGCATACATATTAGAAGTATATGTATACTAATATGTTCTAATTCTAATATCTATACTAATACATATATGCACTAAGAAGTGCATACTTAGTAATATGTATCAAGAATTTTAAAAATGTCCATTTCCTAGAATCTAGTCAATCTCTTTATAGTAATGAACTCTAAGGAAATAATCAAGTTTCCAACACAGATGTTCATTACAGAGTTGGTTACAAAAAGATTGTTTTTAATTCTTCTCAACTGTCCAACAACAGGAGAATGTAAGGAGAACGTTCATCAATAACTAAAAGCCATGTTTTTCAAAAAAGTTTTAATGACAAGGGACATATATATTAAATGTAAAAAGTAAGCAAAAATATATTTGAACCCCAATTTTATTTTAAAAAACAGCAGAACTGAAGACAAAATGTACAGTAGGATCTTGACTATACATGTATATGCTTTACTGTTAGAGATGCTTCCTGTGGTGAGTCAGTTATCCATCCCCAACTTAATTATATCTATAACTGCATCACATAATCATATCTTGGTTTAATGATATCATATCTTTATTATCCAGGTAAATACCTGCAGCCTACAACTCCCTTAGCATAATTCCTTTTCCCAGTCTCAGTGTACATCTTCAGCTACCTGAGCATATGGAAGTTTAGCTATCAAATTTGATTTTAAATGCATATTAATGTCACATTAAGTGAACTATAAACTTTAGCCCTGCTCTTGAATCTGAGTTTCTATGATGTAAGCAATGTTAAACCGATCATTGTATCTTCAGTGAGACAGTTCCGCTTAGATAGGTTGGCTCCTTACCTGAAATCCTCTCTTACAGGCTCCCTCAATTTCATGAAAGTCATGTTCCGTGCACAGAGGGCAAGCTTCAGCACTCTCCCACAGGAAATAGAAGGTACACCCATCACAGGTGCCTGCTGGACACTTGCTGAAATAAAAAGTGAAAAACAACAAAAATGACAGCTTTCTTAATACATTCAGTCAAGTCCAAACAACACTTTTGTGTGTACTGCCTACCAGGAGATAATGTGTGGATACGAAGGAAATACGCACTAAAAATAATCTGAAGGAGACAAAACCACAGTGAGATACCTCTTTGCACCTACTAGGAAGGCTAGAATCAAAAAGACAGATAATAACAAGTGTTGCGAGGATGCTCTCATCCTGGAACCCTTACACACAGCTGATGGGGATGTAAAATGGGGAAGGTGCTTTGAAAGAATCTTTTTGTTCCTCAAACAATTAAACAGAAGGTAACCATATGATCTAGCAATTCCACGTCTAGGTAAATACCCAAGAGAAATGAAAATGTGTTCACAAAAAATTTGTACATGAATGCTCATAGCAGCATTATTCATAACAACCAAAATATGGAAACAACCCAAATGTCCATCATCATTAAGCTATGGATAAGTGAATGGATAAACAAAATGCGGTATATCCATACAATGTAATATGACTCAGCCATAAAAAGGAATACAGTACTGATACATGCCCCAGCTAGGATGAACCTCAAAAATATTTTGCTAAGCGAAAGAAGCCAATTAAAAAATTCCATATTTTATGTGATGTCATTTGTACTAAAATCCATAATAGGGAACTCTGTGAACAGAAAGTAGGTTAGCGGTTGCTCAGAGCTGGAGCTGGAAATGGGGCTAGAGTATAAGGAGATGATCGATAAAGGCTACGGGGTTCCTTTTGGAGGACGTTCTAAAATTTACTATATTGATGTTTGCACATACCTAAATATATAATAATCACTTAATTAGATGCTCTAAATGAGTGAATTGTATTGGTATGTGAATTATTTCTCTATAAAGCTTTGGGGTTTGTTTTTTTTTTTTCATTTAAAGGAGAGACAGGCACAGATAATGACCAAAAAAAATGCTTCAGGAAAGTTTCTTGGTGGAAGTGATGCCTAAACCAAATCTAGAATATTCTAGAATAGTAGGAGTTAGCTAGAATAGGAGAGAAGAAAGCAAGGGAATTCCTGCCAAAAGGATGAAATGAAAGATGAAATTGGAAGGAAGTACCAGCAGGTCATTGTAGCTGGAGCTTCAAGAACAAGGCCTCAAGTGAGCAGTGGGCACCCAGGTAGGCACGAGATGGTAACAGAAGGTTGCGATTCCTGTTTAAGATAATGTATATAAGCAAGGTGCTTTAGGGAGCAGAATGATACACAGGACCATGGTCCAGAGAAGGTGCAAAAAAAACATGAAGACAAAATTGTCTAAAGTGAAAAAACCAACAAAACCACCATGAAGTCAACACACAGCTCAGTGATGCAAATGCTTTTGCAGTCCTGGGTTTCCTCGGCCTGACGATGACTTCCTTCGAGATGTGGCTACACTGATCGCTGAGTGATGTGGGATGAAATTTAGACATAGGTGCAACCACCAGGCAGGCCATGAATGGAGACATTTTGAAACTCTGCTCTGTGGTGGGTGTTCCTATTTTTGTCAACTTGCCACTTTCATTTTAGGGGCAGATAAACACAACGTGGCTCAAAAATTAACCTGCTGCTACTGTGTACAGAATTATTATGAGTTGAAGGAAGAAGGCAGTTGGAAAAATTCTAGTGGGAATGACTGTTTTGTTTATGAATTCACTAAAACTGGGAAACCGTTTTTCTCAATTTGTCTACTACACTTCCCTTAAGTCAAGCCACGTAAATACAAGGCATTGCCCTGCAAACCTCCTTCAGACCTTAGCTGGTGCCAAGCACAGGTGTCCTGAAACATTGAATAGCAACAAGATAGATGCACAATAACAGGGAGAATAAAAAAAAAAATCCCTTTTTAAGACTTAACTTCAAATGCCAGAACTATAATTTTCATTCTACAAAAAAGGTAAAATGTCATTAATTTAAATGTCATAAATTTAGTTAATTAAATATATTGTTACTCTAAAATATGGACACAAAAAATTCTATGTGCCTAAAAATTGAATGCCTTGTTATATAACTATCTTTCCAAAGTGTCTGTGTGAACATGGCGGGACGTAAATAGAAGCCACGTGCCTCGTAGCATGCCGCAGAAACAGAGGCCCGCTATTGTCAGAGCTGAGAAGAATGGAGAACAGTGATTCTCTGGAAAAGCAGCTGAACTCTTAATTTCTCTGTTTGTAAAAACAGAGTAATAAATATATTCAGACTAATAAACCAAAAAAATTAAGGTAACTACAATAGATAAAAGCTATGTCAATTTAAAAAATTATTCCTAATGTCCACCTTCCAAATCAGTAAAAGCAACACAAAATTGGGAAAAATTAGGTGACCAATCAGAAAAATTCTTCAAGAATACAATTATTATTTTCTTAACAATGACTTGCAACTTCAAAAATTATTACACTTTTCTGATCACTTTGCAAATATTACCAATATACTTTCCTGCTCAATTCTCTCCTCCACAAATTGTTTTCTATTTTTTCTTTCCAACACAGAGAAGTTTTAAAGGGGTGTGGGGGACTGTTTATATTGGGAAAATAAAAGAGTTAAGTCTGTCAAAGTTTGAGAAGAAAGAACGCAAATTAAAAAAGAAGAAGAAAATTAATCGAAGTTACAAAAAGCTCTGGAGAGAAGGCTTATGTTACAATTCTAACTGGACTTTCAACCCCAGATTGTGTGTTTTTCATAAGTGACTCAATGCCCTTTCCCACCATCTCATTTTTGTCATTTGTCAAAAGCAGAATGTCTGCTATGGTGCTTTCATGGGGTGATAATAAAGGATAAAATGAAAGAACATTTTGGGAAAGTTTAAAGCACTGCAAAATATAAAACACAATTAACCATGCACATCACTTTCTAAAGAACTGGTAGAGCTACAGGAACAGAAAGAAAAAAATTAAGACATTGATGTAATTTATAAGCTGCCATGGGGTGTCAAAATACTACAATGATTCATTGCATTTCCTTGATAGACTTCGCTTTTTAAACGAAACTCTTAGGTTAAAAGTAGTTTAATTTAGAATCAATTCTTTAATTCTGTTAACGCAATGAATCATTTAAAATATGGAATATTCAAATTCAAGTCTTTGTTATAAATGTTTCAGAGTTTGAATCAGGCTTTCTGTATAAAACAAGTGTGTACAAAGCAGTAACAATTTTGATAGTGCTTATACAGAAAATAGACAAAAACATGCAAGAGAAAAAGTATGTTCTCCTACTAAGAAAACAAAAAAGTGAATACTAAGATAAATAAATGCTTTATTGCCAAATATGTGAAATACTTTTCTGTTGGATGACCTGTGTCACCACATCTTCCCCTCCTACCCCCATCTTTGCAGAAGTGTCACCAACTGTACTTCTTTCAGAACTATTGGTCCATGTGATCATCATAGAAACCAGAGAGTAAATGTGTAGAGACAGGACAAAGTCCCTGATCGCTGGGGCATGCAAGGGGATGACAGGGTGTGCTGTGAATTCTAGGTAGAGAAACCGTCTTAGATTCAAAGGACAGCCAGGCGAACCTTGACTTGGCTTGACTGATAAATGCGAAGGAGGCTTTCCAGTGTATTTTGTTTGGGGGATTGCCTTACCAACCGGGGTAGCACTGGCAATGTATAAGAATTCAGATGAATCTTTTTTAAAGAAGTTTTGTCTTGGACTTTAAAATAGAATACATTTCCTAGGGCATAGCTGAGCTGAGCTATGATTATTAGTGTCCTCTTTTAAATCAATAATCTTACTTAAAGCAGAATCTATTTGGTTCATAGTAAAAATTTGTGGAGAAAAATCTTGTTTCCTTTGGAACTACTATGACCTAATACTCCACCTATCATTCACTGTTGGGATAGTTGGCTTATTTCACTTAACCTAATGTCCTCCAGGTCCACCCATGCTGTCACAAAGGGTAAAATTTTCTTCTTTTTTATGGCCAAGTAGTATTTCATTGTGTAAATAAATACCATATGATTTCACTCATATGTGGAACCTAATGAACAAACTGAACTAATAAGCAAAATAAAGGCAGGCTCATAGAGAGCAGGCTGACAGCTCTGAGGGCTGGGAATGGTGGAGGTAAAGAGATCAAGCAAAAGAAGAAAAGAGAGAGAGAAAAAGAAAGAAAGAGAGAGAAAGAAAGAGAAAAGAAAGAAGGAAAGAAAAAGAGAGAAAAGAAAGGAAAGAAAGAAAAAGAAAGAAAGGAAGGAAGGAAGGAAGGAAGGAAGGAAGGAAGGAAGGAAGGAAGGAAGGAAGGAAGAAGGAAGAAGGAAGGAAGGAAGAAAGGAGTCATGGACTTGGACAACAGTATGGCGATTGCAGGGGGGGGGGTGGGGGGTGGAAGAGAATATAAGGGGGATAAATGATAACAGAAAAAATACAATAAAAATAAACTATTAAAAAAAGTAAAAATTAAATTATTGGGAGAGTTGGTAAAGCATTGTAAAACTGTTTTGCCTAAGCTTCATTCAAGATCCAAAGTTAAAACAAATTCATCGACGTTGTCAGTACGTTTCTGATCCTTCTGGAGTTAGTCTCAGGAGACTGAGGGAAAGGCCACGATCTTGTGTGCCTAGAACACTTCTCCTGTGTGAGGGCACGAATGTTGCTGAACTTCTTTCATGTGGGGTTTTGGTAGGTTTCTTGAGGTTCCCCGTCTTAGGGTCTGAAGACTGACATCCTCAGGGATGGGTGATGTTCTCTGACCTGCCACTAGTGACTCTCTCAGCTTTGGCACCTCAGCAAGGTCAGCCTTTCTCGGCTGAGGATGCCCTGTCATTGGCAAAAACCCTTCTTGTGCGGGGCCCATCCAACACAGTTGTGTCTTGCTCCAATTTTGTTTGCCCAAAGACTGAAGAGCTTAAATCACTTTTGACTGGGCTTGAACATAAGATATTTGACCCACAGCTCTTAGATCCAGAAATCTAAAATTCTACCAGTCTCCTACAAAAACCACCTTTTCAAAAGACTACCTGGAGTTAATAACCAAA